ATACCGAACGGTATACCGCTCGGTATACAGTTTCGTACCGTACCGAGCAAACGTCAAAACTCCGGTACAGTACGAAATTACATACCTTAATTCAGAGTATCTTATGGTACGAAAGAAATATTGACCATAATTAGGAAGGAGATACATATAGCAATGACATGAATAGCAGAAAGGATACACATCAACCATGATATTAGACTATTCTAAATGTGTCTGCAACAAAGTACCTCCAGAATAAGGTTAACTACGCACTTTTATGTAACTTAAATTTTAATCCTAGTGTTGAAGAACAGTAATATTTGCGTAGCGTACCAACGTAGTCCTCAGTCTAAAACCAACACGCATGACATTTTGGAAGTATTGTGCTTCAGATAATACTCCCAGTGCCTGAAATCAAAATATATGTCAGCAAGCAAAAAGATAACAATATAGCCTTCTGCAAAATTATATGCAATTGCAAAGATGCCAGCAGAAAAGGAAAATAAAAATAAAAATAACAGTTAAACTCAATATTTACTGAAAAGGGAGAAACTATGCTACCAAAAATATTGAAAAGACCTTTTTCATAAGTTCAACAATTGCTATATGATGAAACGTGCTTTTGGTTTTCATTTATAAGCAATTGTTGAATCTGGGTCAAAACACAAAGACACCCAAATGTCCAAATTTTTGCTCTCACTACTAGAGCTATTCCCTCTTGAACCATGTGGAGAACAGGAACCACACTATAATGTATCAGAGAGATCAAACAGCCAATATCACCAGGTATCACATCCCTAATGAGAAGGTTCACTAGGAATGAAATTCTCTTAGTTGAAAGCTAAAACAATGACAACACAAACATATCAGAATGTATATGTGCATAGAGCCATAGACCACTACATATCTGGCTAAATTACAAAAACCATATTTGCATTTTATGTCATATATCAATATGTACATATGTGATTTTTTTTTTTAAACTATATGTGGCGCTTGATTTCTAGTTCTTCCCTTCATTCTCATGTAAGGCCTGTTCCAATTCATTGTGGCATCTCCTTTTGAAAAGCATCTTTAATAATCAATTGAAGGCAATACTAAGACATCTCTCAGCATGTTGCCTTGACTTCACCTTCCAGCTGCTCCTCTTCCCCTGTGCCCGTCTTCCCCACATCCACAACCTTCCAATGTATATTTAAGTCACTCCTAACCATATCAGTCTCTTAGCTTATTAATTCCATGGAGGGCAATACTGAACATCACATGATCAGATACATTGATGTACACTGACATTTTTCAGATAAGCCCTCTTTAGTTATTTGGATAAATAATAACTAGATACATGTTCATCAACATTATGAAGTGAAAATGCCTGCACCAAAAATATGTATGCGTAAGATAGAAGCACATACCACCCCAGCAAAGATTGAGAATGCGTAAATGTAGCCAGTCCATGCCGGTTCCCCTTGTTGCATGGACTGCATATCATGTCAGCAAACTTCAGATTTATCTTAAGAAAAATCAACAACAAATAGAAAATTAAAGAAAAACAGAACATGTTTAGTAAAAGACCAGAAACTGAAGTAGAACAGCAAAAATAAAACCATAATAAATGAGCAAACAAACCAGTTACTTGTGCTGTGGTTCAAATGTTCTAAGCAAAAAGCCTACCTTCTGTCACCTGTTTTACCTATATACATATATGCATTATAAACACATATATCCATATTTGTATGTACCTAACAGGAGGAGACATCATGGATCAACCCAGGTCATGTTCAATGTTCATCTTTAATGACCATCCTTGGGGAAGGTCTATAACTAAGTATAGGGTACAGGCAACCAAGAGGCACCTTTACAGATATCTTTTTTTCCTCTTACAAACAGATCAAAAAAATTGAACTCATGCACATTCTGAAGAACTACAATACAGATATGGAGTTTCTTGCCCAAATTCCAAATCCACCATCATGTAAGACTTCTTTCTACAATCCCAAAACCTCAGTGCAGATGTTCTCTCCCAAAGTGAGTGTCCCCACAGACTCAAATCACCCTGGTTCCCATCTAGACCACTCAACTGGAACTTGCGGCCCATGGTTGCAGCCTCAATCCCAATCATCTCAGACCACCATTGTGCCTAGACTGAGTTCCTCATCTCCCCATCCTCACCATATGTACCAAGATCTTCTACGACAACAGCACGGCAATGACCTAATACCACCTTCACTGCTACACTCTGCTCCATTTCTGCCATGCTGATAAGTAATTCTTCCCCCATTGGGGTAATTGACAAACTAAGGAACCTGCAACACCCCGAAAAGTCCCACATCGAGAGTAAGCAAAACTAAGATTATCTTATAAGGGTCAGATAGGTGTACTACTATTGACTTCAGCTCAGGCATTCTGACCAATGGTTTGGGTTCAACGAAGTTGATAAGCCAGTTAGCCCATCAAGCCTGGGTCAAGACAGAACTGAATCAGCATCACACGTTAAGTGACGCTGTAATAGTTATAGCATTCTAGGTTTCATTTAACTAGAAAACATCAAGTCCGTTCAAAAAATTATGTAATAAATAATTAACTAAACAACGAACAACCCTAGTTAATAAAAGAAAGGTGGATTCCAATGGTAAAATTAGATTAAATTAACATACTAATCTATCCAACTTGTGTTCTTGTAGTCAAGTATCATAGAAGAAAATATCACTGACAATGTTCTGAAAATTTTCAGCCCTAAGACTAATCTACAATAAAGATAACATCTGCAGATATGCCTAAGAATTTTTTGCACAACAAAAATACAGTTCAAAATTTCAAATCAAGGAATGTTGTGTCAAGTACTGACCCTGTATTGATCCCCTTTGAGAGCACTATGATATAGGTATTGTATTATATCAAGGTGTTGATACATTTGTTTGATTTCTTCTTCTTGAAGTGGTAGCCCTCATCTAAAAATATGCCCAAATGGAGGGTTTTGTCGAAGAACGGGAGACAGATGGAATGTCAGCAAGAGGGAGCTGGATGAAGAGAAAGTTGGGAGAAACAGAACAATGGGAAGGATCGAGAGGGTCACCAGTTAACCAGGAACCATCAAGGTCTTAAGTATTTCAACCAACCATTATCAGTTAGAACTTACTGGGCTTCAACTAAGACCAGGCAAAATCTTGGAATTTTGACTTTTGCATGTGTCTTAAGTGGTTTTAACCCAAATTTGGCAAGCCACAAGCTGGTCATAGGCTTGAACTTGTACATACCTCATGAAAATCAAGACACTTTTCAGTTCTGTACTAGGCATGGAAAGAAGAAAGTTCATCAGTAATACCTTTAGACAGTGATGATAATTGGATTCAAGGTCAATTGACATGTTTTCAATTCAATCTATTTTTTTAATAATATTAGTATTTTAGAGGGTGTTTTGTAAAAAAAACATAAGTTGCCACATGGCAGCATTTTCCATGATTCTATTTTAGTTTCCTAGATAGCACAAGGAGAAGAAAAAGATGGAAGCAATTAAAACTTGAATTGATTAAAGATCACAAATCTTGATTGATGATTTCCTATCATCCTTTCTATCTTGGGGTGAGTCCAATAAGTTATCTATTATTTCTTATCTTCCTTTTCTGTCTTCTCCAAATATCCTACTCATATAAATTCTACCATTACAAAATCTCTAAACCCCAGACACTACTATCCTAGACTTTCCCTTGACCATACACGATCCATCCAACTAGTGAGAGCCTGATGTTGCTGGAACAACCCAGCATTGGAGAATAGCAGATAAAAATCACAACCTAGTGAGGCTAGCCAAGAGGGCAAATCAATATCTTTCTCCCTCCTCAAAATTGGTATATGTTTGAATTTGCGCTACTTGTTCTTTCATGGTTTCAAATCAAATTCCCCATAGATCGACTGAATTGTTGAATCTCCCCTCTTTTGTGTCACCTTTTTTCACCGGCTCTCTCCCTAAACCCATCAGCCTAAACCTTTTGATTGTCCTACACCAGTACCACGTGTCAATAGAAATTTCATGAAACTAGAGTGTTCCATTTTTGGCACATAAATTAAATCTGAAAAAGAATTGCATCCACATAATTTTGCTAATTACGTCAAAAAAATGCCACTGAATAAATAAACACATATTAAAATGAGCAACAATGTGAAAACACAGCATAAAATAAGATAAAAAATTCTATAAATTCAGGTTTGTCAGAAAATAACATACCAGTAATAGGCGGTTTAATATTAGTGGACCAACAAACTGAGATGCATCATTACCAATCTGAGACAAGAAGGAAAAAGAATTATCCAAGAAGACCCACCCAGTAGATAAATGAAGTTGGTACTCTGCAATATGCAACTTGCACTATATTGTCCATCAACCGGGTTTCATCCATACAAATTAGTCTAGCCATTCATGAAATTTTCCGACAATTTTATTTCTTCATCACGCAACATAAATTTTATGGATGCTTCCACAAAATTGATGGAAACATCAATACAAACTGTAATTACATAAGGAATTTCCATAAAAAAGATAATTGAAAGCATTGTTTATTGGGTCAATTATTAGCAATGCAGTTCATTCCATTCCAATTTCAGTGAAAAAAAAAAGGCTAAATCAAAGTAAAAGACAACTGTAAGAATTTCCATGTGTTACCTTGAAAAATCCACCAAGCCAAAATCTGTCGAGAAAGTCAAAGAGAAACCGAAATATTAGATCGGAGAAAAATCCCCAAGGTATTACAGAGAATAAATATCCCCCCAACATATAATTGCAACACAAAACTTGCACAATTAGTAGGTTATAGTTCGTACCTTCCTCCGAGACTGCGATGCAGTGCTCTCAACAGCCAAGGTTTAGGTTTTCTAGATTCCTCAGCCCAGCATTGCTGGAACCTGAAACAAGAATCCATTAGAAGGAATTGAAAAGTTAACATTTATGATTCTGTGAGAAACTAGCCAAGGGATTGAGGACAAATACCTGCCATTCAGAGTTTCCGTCCGGTCCCACGAATCTAATTTCCAAACATCTTTCTCAGTGATGGGCCTCTTAAAGCCTTGTTGCATGAGAGGAGTCATCCATGAAAAGAATATTTCTAAGGAGAAAATAGAAAGTCATCGCCCAAGATATGGTAACAAGGAAATTTTTGCTTAATACTATCAAGCCATCACTTAAAACAATTAAGCCTTCAATATACTCACTGGAAAACATGTTGACTTCCCTCTCAGGACATATATGCTCTTCTCCAGGAAGTGGTTCATAGTCCATGTTGTCAATTAATGCCTCGGTTCTAACTGGACTGTCTCCAGGATAAGCATCCAAACTTGGAACATAGATAAGCAAAAGGATACCAAACAAAAACTGCATGTGAAATACAAGAATATTTAGCGAAGTTCACAAACTTTGGCCACTTAAATGTACGGCTTAAAGTTTAATATCACTATGAAGAAGATGACATTGTGAACAAAGCTTTATCGAGGGTAGGTTCTAGATGCAAATAATAAAGAAGAGGGAATATCATCCGTAGAAAACCACCTGAAAGTAAATTGTATTTGATATTTGTAAGATACAAGAAAGAATCGATACAAACCTGGGATACTATCTCGCTGGTGTAAATATAGAAAATTGATCTGCATACAGCACAAAATGGTAATGATGCTTTAGTTCTGCTTAGATGCTCAAGAATTTTAGCCAGATAAAGCAAGTAATGCATAATATCATGAGAGACTTCAAGATGTCCTAGACATTACCAAAACATTTAACAAAAATTACCCCTTTAATAACTTTGTTGAGGAATCTTCAAACTGAAGGAATTTCACAGAAACAATATCCTTGCATGAATTCCTCTGATTACTAGGTTTAAGAAGCTAAGCCTGGTGAGATTACAAAATTTGAACAATTGATTTAATGAATTTGTTTGGTTCATTTCATGATACTCCACATTTTAGCTAAATTCAGGCTCTGAGACAATTGCTTCATGCATTATAAAACTAAGGCAGCTTATTATTTTCATTTACAAGAATTCAAGGCTTAGGAAATTTCTAAAAACTGAATCCAAGTTACATGCTTGGATACAGGCTACAAAAGAATATGCGCAATGAACATGACACTTCAAGAAACTTACTTGTCAAAATATTGTCTCACCGATAGTACAAGGTTGTACATAGAAATTTCACCAACCAGAACATAGACAACTACAAAGCGAATATACCACCGGAACTCGTGTATATAGATTTTTGTCTCCATTATTATCAGCACTTGCATACAGCACCAAGCAGCAGCTTCAATAAGCAATGTAACTACCTGAAAGAAGAAGATAATATAGTAAAATGAGCTTGTGAATGTGGGTGTTTTATGCTACAAAACCAAAACAAAATATAATATGATTATGTCAAGAAAGGTCCAGAGCCAACAGGTGAAATATACTATCGTCGGTGGTACACCTATTGTCATGAATCTAGACATTATGAAAGACGTAGGACGATTCAGTGAAGCAAGATGTAATAGAAATGCTTCAAAAGAGATTTTATTTTTGTCTATTATCATTTTACTGAACTTTAAGGATGCTAAAAGCCTACCATACAAAAGCAGAAATTGCTATGGTTGATTAAAGCATATCTCTGTCCTGGGAAATTTTCTTTCTTTAGAAGAAATTACCTTAAATATATCACCCTAAACAAAATAACCACATAGCATATTCAGACTAAGTTTGTCCGAGCATCATGTTGGAGAACTATTAAGGGAATCATCGAGCACTATTAGCTTAACTAGATAAAATTGCTTAGCAATGAAGTGAAAAATTATCACTTGATTAACTATCAACTCAACAAATCCAAGAACTCTCTTTTAGCAATGAAAGAGAGAGTTGAGTAATGAGTCACTAAAAACAAGACAAAATATCCAGACAAATTGGGCACTCACCTCAAATGGAGCCAGACCTGTGTACCCATCCAGATTTGTGACAGAAAGGCCCATCACCATCCTTAACAATGGCTCCGCAGTGCAGTATGCTGCAAGCAGCCACAACAAATAATTGTAATATGGAGACCTCAGGCAGTACCGCTGGACAGTGTGGTCCCTCTTAGTCCTCCATATCCGATAGAAGCAGACACCGAAGAGGGCCAAATGGGAGATGCAAACCACCAAGCTCTCCATACCACAAGGCGTGTACGGGCCAAAAGCGTTCTCCACCACCGTCGACCAAGCCCCATGCTTCTCCGGCTGGCAGTACCACATCAGCGGCTTGAAACCCATGGCTCTGAACAGCCTCAAACTCCAATCACTTAACCCGGTTTCTCTTTATATTAGACGTCTCTTCTAACCAGATCCATCGACGGACAAATGCCAAAAGAAAACAAAAAAAAAGTGTTAGCCACCACAGAATATATCTTCTATAGATAGGTCCATTATAATCGCTTCAACGAACCAAAGCCACTAGATACGCTAAAGCCGACAGCAAGAATCAACCCTTTTTAGACGTATAACAGAAAAAATCCGGATTCGTGAAAAGCCTGTCCGGTAAAGCTTTCGCTCAAACCACTAAAAACTCTCGAAACCGGACGCGTACAAGCTCACAGTGGAATTCTTTTTCCTCTTTCAAGAAGAAACAGGATGGCAATTATCAAACTAATTCAAGAAACAGGGCCGCTTGTTTAAGAAAGAAACCAAACAGACCCGTTATAATCGCATCAACGAACGTAACCCACTTGTTCCGCAATAAGCGGACGGGAAGAACCCCATCATCTCCAAAAGTAGTCTAGCACAAAAGATTGGATTCTCATCGCGCCATCTCAAAACTCGCGAAGAAACCGTGCAGACTCGAAAATCAATCATTTTCCTCTTTCAAGAAAGAAGAGAAGAAAGAGAACAAAAAGGCACGATCAAAAGAAAATTCTTTTTGTTCTTTCGAGAAGCAATAAAGGAAGAAGAGAAATTTGAGGGAACAAGACGCAAGACGCAATCTTTTTCTCTTTGAAGAACGAAGCAGAAGGAGAAAAGAAAAATCATTTTTTTTAATTTCGAGGAACAACAAAAGAAGAAGAGAAATTTGAGCGATCAAACAAACCGCGCGCAAACTCTTGAAGGGAGCTTCTGCCACCCTCCAAACGGAATCTTTCTGACGCTTCAAGCAGACGTAGAACAGAAACGACGGGAACACGAACAATCCATCCAGCGAATCGTGCGGGAAGGGGTTGTGACAGTACCTTGAAGCTCGCCGCCGCCCCCGCCGAAGAGACTTGGAGGAGGGGAAGCTAATTCTTTGGCGGGCGGATCCGCAAAGTTGTCGTCGTCGTCGTTTTCATGATACGATTGTAGTGGATTGGCAAGCGCTGCTTACTGTACTCCCTTGGCTTGTGGCTTTAGAGTGCTAAACAGAGGAGGAGAGAGGGGGAGGCGGCGATGCAGGTGGATGGGGAGCTAAGCGCTTACGGAGGGATGATGAGGACAGCGTAGTCGTTGACATTAAATTAGAGAGACTGTAATTAATAAAAAATATTTTTTTTATTATTTTTTAAAGGATTATAAATAGTAAAAAAATTATATATAGTAAAAGATGGCTCTAAATAATAAGATTTTTATAGAACGGGACTTATGGATGACATAAAAAAAATAAAGAATCATTAAATGAAATTACTACTTTAAACTTTGTGTCATCTCATCGATCTAAATCTAATGTGTAGGACCCACACTATTTAAGAAGTTATGTTTAATCTAAATATAATTATTCCTTTATAAGATGATATGAAACAATTTTAATTCTCAAAGAATAATACGAACATATTACATAAATTATCATGAGATACGATTAAATGCTTCATTTATCAGTGCCACTTTGGTTCTTCAAACCTTCTCATCAAAGGTCTAAGCAACATATTTGACTTTATTATTCACACATACATGTAAACATGCACTGCTCAAATAATGTTTTCTTAAAAAAAAAAAACAATTTCATCATTTTTCCTCTCTCTACATATAATATTGATTTATTTTTATCAAACTTAATGTGATATGAGAAATTTTGTTTTTTTATTATTTAAACATAAGCATTTTAAGTTAGTCACTTTGGCTTATGACTTCCTCCAAAAAATTAATCTCATATTTTTTCTCCAGAATTTGAGTATAATCATATATAAAACAAGCTATTTCTGATGAAAAAATGGTTTGACATGAAATATTAAGAGGATAGAGAGGTCTAACAAACTCAAATTCCATTCAAGATATATTTATTATTTGCTAGACAAGTTTGATTCAAGGTAATGCATCCTAACTTTAGGAACAAGTCACAAAGTGGGACTTGGACAGAGTAAAACACAGACCACAAAAAGACTATTGTTATTTAAGATTTGATGAATTAATGAAGTTGTTTTTACTTCATTAGATTGCTTGGTGACTTAAACATGTATTTTTTTCCAACCCTCTCATCTTCTCTCTAGAACTGTAGTTATTTTATTTGTTCTTTCCCTCATTACCTAAAAGGTCACCACTTAAAACTATGACTTGCAGCATAATTAAGCTGCCATTTTTGAAGGACTGAGATGGTTGAGTCAGGAATGACCAAAAAAAAGAAGATAACTTTGATCATTGCAACCACTTAGAAAAGGTAAAGGGAGGGCAGCAGATGAGAACAACAATGGAGAAGAACTGTTGAGAGGTTATTTGGAAGTGATGTTCACAATGGAAATTACGTAAACAAAAAAAAAATGTGAATGCTGTTTTCTGGAATTGAATTCATTCTAAGATTCAAACATTATGTAGGCAGCAAATTTTCTTTGGGGTGTGTAAAGCAAAATCATGGAGTGTAGGCATAAAAGAGATAGAACTTCTATATCAGATTACAAACATGAGAACTACTTGAATTAAAAATTGCAATCCTTGTCCTTCAGAATCCAAATTGTTCTAATTCAAACAAGGAGTAGGCAGCAAGTCAGCAATTTTTCTTTGACCAATACAATATATATACACTTCTAGACTGCCTTTTCTCCTCCAGGAAGAAAAAGAGAGAAATCAGCATCTGTCCTTCTTTGACCAATTCAATATGTATACACTTTTAGACTGCCTTTGCTCCTACAGGAAGCAAAAAAAGAGAGAGAAATCAGCATCTGTCCTTCTTTGACCAATTCAATATATAAAAATAATATTATACTTTAGACAGATCAGAGCCATAGCCTCATCCTCTGCCAATTTAGTTTATTTCCCTAATATAAGGATGAAATATGAAGATGTGAAATGTCTTATCAATCTTCTTGGTCAAAAATATTATGTGAGACAGCAGCTTAGTTTGAAGTCTAAATAATTGAAAGTATTTAAAGAGTCAGTACCATCCCCCATCCTCTCTTGAAATCATTTAAAGAGTCAGTACCATCCCCCAACCTCTCTTGAATAAACAAGTAAATAAATCAGGAAATTTTCCTGATTTCATATGTTTTTGTTGGTTGCCAAGAAATGCACTTTCTGGTATGTTATTTTCCAGCAACAAAAGCATTTAAAGCAGCACATATGTTATCTACTAAATCTGCAAATGTGCAAGTCTGCTAAATGCTTAATCATGCAACACCCATAACTTGTTTGAGTAAATGCCAAAAGCATTTAAATCAGATAGTTTCAAGCACATATGTTGTCTACTAAATCTGCAAATATACAAGTCTGCTAAATGCTTAATCATGCAACACCCATAACTTGTTTGATTAAATGCCAAGAGCATTTAAAGCAGATAGTTTCAAGCACTTCTGTTATCTACTAAATCTGAAAATATACTAGTATGCTAAATGCTTAATCATGCAACACCCATAACTAGTTCGACTAAATGCCAAAAGCATGGCTCACCTGCTACCAGCAGCCACATTCTTGTCCTAACAGAGCCCAAGCCGCCTCCTCCACGTCTCCTACTTGTCCATGTCAAGGTCATGCACTGTTCTCGGTAACCTAACTTTAATAGAACCAACACAGACAAATCATGATCGCCTTCGCATTATAAATACAAATGCTCTCGCCAATCTCTACTTACTGTTGATGATATTTCGGTGATACGGAGATGGTTCATCCTGTGGGTATTCTGGTCTCCGTTGCTCTCCTTGTTCTACTTCTTGTGTTGGGATTCACTCTGGTCTCAAGGGTTGCTTGGAAGTCCAAACTGAGACTGCCACCGGGCCCACCAAGGTGGCCCATCTTTGGGAACCTACTTCTATTGGGCCCACTCCCGCACAAGGACATGGCCCAACTTTCCTCAGCCCACGGGCCGCTCGTTTACCTCCGACTCGGCGCCGTCGACGCCGTCACCACCGACGACCCGGAGGTCATCCGGGAGATCCTACTTCGGCAGGATGACGTGTTCGCCTCCCGGCCCCGGACGCTGGCCGCCGTCCACCTCGCCTACGGCTGCCGCGACGTCGCCTTGGCCCCGTTCGGCTCGCACTGGAAGCGGATGCGGCGAACCTGCATGGAGCACTTGCTTACCACGAAGCAGATCGAGTCGTTCTCGGGCCACCGGAAAATCGAGGCCTGCCACCTCGCCCGAGATGTGTGGCGCAAGGCCCGAGATGGGGAGCCCGTCAACCTGCGGCAGTTCCTGGGCAACTTTTCCATGAACAACGTGACGAGGATGCTGCTGGGAAAGCAGTACTTCGGACCCGAGCTGGCCGGGCCGGCCGAGGCGGCAGAGTTCATGCACATCACCCACGAGCTGTTCTGGCTCCTGGGGCTGATCTATCTCGGCGACTACCTGCCGCTGTGGAGGTGGCTCGACCCGCTCGGGCGCGAGAAGAAGATAAGGGAGGTGGAGAAGAGGATGGACAGGTTCCACCAGAAGATAATCGAGGAGCACCGGGAAGCCATGGCGAGGAGGAAGGAAGCTGGCGATGGCGAGAACAAAGAAGCAATGGACTTTGTTGATGTGCTGCTCTCCTTGCCAGGTGAGGATGGGAAGGAACGCATGGACGACACAGAGATCAAAGCTCTTATGCAGGTATGTCGTCGCCACCATTCATGTTCTCGAGAGGATGACTTCTGCATCATGATGTCGATCAATTCGGCGTAGGACATGATTGCCGCGGCGACGGATACATCGGCGGTGACGAACGAATGGGCCATGACGGAGGTGATCAAGCACCCAGGGGTGCTGCGGAAAGTCCAGGAGGAGCTCGACAGGGTGGTCGGGAGGGATCGCCTGGTGCAGGAATCAGACCTTGCCCACCTGACGTACCTCCGGTGCGTCGTGAGGGAGACCTTCCGACTGCACCCGGCGGGGCCGTTCCTCATCCCTCACGAGTCCACCAGGGCCACCAAGCTCATGGGCTACGACATCCCCGCCAAGACGCGCGTGTTCATCAACACGTACGCGCTGGGGCGGAACAGGCGCGTCTGGGACGACGTCGACGCGTTCCGGCCCGAGCGACACCTGCCGCCGGAGGGCAGCGGCGGGCGGGTGGAGATCAGCCACGGGGCTGACTTCAAGATCCTGCCGTTCGGCGCGGGGAAGCGGAGGTGCCCCGGCGCGCCGCTGGGAGTGACCATGGTGCTGATGGCCCTCGCCACGCTCTTCCATTGCTTCGACTGGTCGCCGCCGGAGGGGGTCCGATGTGAGGAGATCGACACCGAGGAGGTCTACGGCATGACCATGCCCAAAGCCAAGCCACTGATGGCGGCGGCCAGGCCGCGATTGGCCCCAAACCTGTACGACTAAGTTTCGTTACCGTGCTCTTCAAGCTTTGATATACGAGGAAATGTTCTACTCAAATCAACGGTTACATAACAATACAAATGGTTCTATATACTTTGCTCTTCACCTCAGAAGTTTAAGATATAAGTTCGAGAGGAGAAACGCACGGATTACTTTCGAGTCATCAAAGAAGCACAAAAATAGAATCTTATGTATAGAAAAAGAAGAAAATGAAACAGCAGTGTAAATCTTCTAACAATCTTAACTTGTGACAATGCACTAGAACAAATAGTTTGATGAGGGTAATAATTACGATAAGACTTGCATGACACCCGTTGACGTCCCGCTTCCCTGTTAGTCCGACACCGCATGACTGACACAGGTCAAAACGCCAACCGAGGCCCATTAACGATCGCTCAGGTTCGATTCCACACGCTACGCCGATAGCAATGTCAGACGCCATCAGAAGGTACGATCTTACCCCTTGCGGGCAGGCGCATCAGGTAACACCGAACCCCCATTATAAATACCCTTACATTCTGAACGAAGAGGGAAAGGAGGGAGAAAACAACCCCACTACGATTGTTGACTGACTCGATCGTCGGAGGGGTCAGGTCGAGTTCTCCCGTCCCGACCTATGTGCAGGAATGAAGGCGAGGCGCTTCTCTCCGGGCGCGTAGGCAAGGAACCCCCTCGCGAAGGAACCGGCGACCTATCATCCGGACCCGAACCAAGCCGCGTCAGCCCCGAGGTCATGGCTAAAAAGTTATTTACACTAACATAGCGACACCATGCAAAAGAGTTGTCAGGATCTTAGCATATTTTACTTAAGTTATACGATATTATTGCTTATTTGTTTGTAAAATATCAATCTTCTTAAGAACTTTTATGATTTCTTAATGATTTACAAAAAGGAATATGAGCTATACGAGGCGTTTAACCCAAGATCTCATAAGCAGTAAACTTTTGATAGGCAATATAAATCATAAGACTTTACAGTCATATAACAAAGGGTTCAAGATAATTCATCATGATCAAAAGTCTCCACAAGTGTCTATGACTTTATTATAAAACAAGGTACTGAACCAACCATAAACACTACCCCAATGGCTATCCAACCACATGCCACCTAAGTAGCTCTAGAATGCTCTGTTAGTTGATACTCAAAATTACTTTACAGAAAACTCTCAAAATGACTATCCAAGATGGTTTATTTTTCGATAGTATAGTCTCATGACTACATACAACATATATTTATAGGACTAAAATGATCAAAAAAATAATCAAAATGTGATTGTTAAACCTATTACAAGCTCTTTATATATTGTATAAATTATGAACAAAATCAAAATGCACGTACATCTACAAATATTATATCAAATACCGTGTTGTCATGGTTTTAGCTGGAATTGCCTAAGGCGTGAGACACCCTTGTGGTCAAAACGTGAACTTAGCTTGTCTTTCCTAAGTCGCGAGGCACCTTTACAGCAAAAACGCGAACGTAGCTTGTGTTGCTTAAGTCGCGCTTCGCCCTTGCGATATTACTCCGCAAAGATCAGCCCACTTGCAACCTCTCGCAGGTCCCGAAGGACCTGTAAAAAGAGAAAGTTGATTAATTCGAAAGAACGAGCGACGGACAAGTCCCGACGTCTCACGAAAAGAGGAGAAGCTTTACAAGCAATTTAGCGAGTACCTTGCGTGCATAAGAGAAAAGAGGGAGAGAGGGAAAACAATGACTTTAGAAGGTTGAACGAATAGCTGCAAGTCTACAAACAACTGCTCACCGGGTGCTGGACGCGACAACAAGTTCCCGTCAAGGTAACGTGCGAACTTGCGAAAGGTTGTTCAATGTTATCTTGACGGGAACTTGTTGTCGCGCTCAACACCAAGTTCCTTTAGCTTACATTGTGATTTTTCCTCTAGTCACTCTTGAATGCCCACTCATCTTAACGACTTATTTCCTTATATTTTTATGCTAATTTCCCTCAAACGATCACGCGTGTTGGCTGCCCTCAACACATCCCCCATGTTTGCATGCCAAGTGTTTATAAATGTATTTGTTCTGCTCCAATATCATTTCTCATGAACTTAGTTGATTGCTTCACCCATGTAGCTTCTCGATATTATACTGGTTGATACTTTGCATCACTTTATGGAGCTAAAAAACCCCTCAAAATGACTGCTTAGATGATATATTTCTGAACAGTTTTGCTTATAAGTGACGATTACACATAACCAACGTTTACAAGACTGAAATGATTACATAAACCAACCAAAATGGGACTGCCAAGCCTATTGCAAGCTTTCTACATTTTGTGCAAAACATGAACAAAATCGAAATACACATATATGTCCAGGTGGGATAAAATGGAGTAAAGTATAACATCTTATGCCGGTGGAAGCTGAGCACACAGGAATGCAAATGACATTTGCTTGCAAACAATTCTAAAATAGGTGCCAACAACATACTTGATATAGCTCCACAGATTTAAAGTGAAACACTCATCATCTATCAAAACCAACAAAACATGATTCCAAATATGCCATCAATCTATCCCAATTTCTTGAGTTGCAAATTAAAGGACTTTATTAACTTTAGCATCTCAAGCATCCAATTGTAAAGTTGTCGGATGAGCATTCGATCTCAGACTTGCTTAACATTATGAAAGTTTCGGAGCTCATCATCTTCTAGGAAGGTCTGGATCATCATTTTCCCGTGGTAAAAGCTCCACCAATCATGTACCTGGCAGATTCAAAGTAATCAATCTTTACTAGATTCATCAGTCCTCCACCTTTTGACTTAACCCTTAAGCTTTCACCTTCAAGCCGAGTACCTCTTTCTAAGACTGCATAAAAATAAGATAAGTCCCAATTAATACAAAAGCTAAACAAAAAATAACAAATTGCAAGTTCATTAGTATAATGTTAACTTATCCACAAAAAATTCAAATGATAAGATAGTCATCGGAAGTGAGCTACAAATAAGACTGACTTATAAAGGTCCGATAGGTGTATTACTATTAACTTTTAGATATTAAGTTCAAGCTCAACAAAGTTAAGTTAAAGGCTAATTATCCAGTCATGACTAGATCCTTTTAATCCCAAGTCCTGTTTAGGTCATCGAAACTTACATTTTATACATTTCTTTTAGACAGATATTACCTCCATGGATGTACATAAGTCTCCTCTATAATGGTCAATAATCCATCCCGAAGACAGTAATTTCCTGAACCAGCAAAGGGGTCATGAATGGTCCCTTAGAGATCCATACCAAATGCAACCTACTTAAGTAACTCTGCAGAGAAAAGGATGCAGGTTTTCTGCTGGGCCACAAAATCTAGAGGTCTCCTATTTCATGACCTCTCACCATGAAACTCCTGTTCATTTCTAGGTTTACGTGAATTAAGTTCTTTCACATGCTTAGATATAGGAGCATGGTTGACCATCAACAGGTTGAAATATTTGCATTAAATCAGCTTACATTGTCATGTCTCTACAATTAGTACCATATAGAGGTTGGAGTATCTTCAATCAGGGGGTGTGATGAATATACTCCATGAGCAGCTACTGCATTCATCTTGGCAGAAGGCTTTCAAAAGAAACAAGAAACTTTCATTGGAGAACAACTGGAACCTTGCTTGCAATCCCAAAACTCTTATTATGCATAAAGCTTGCTGCAGCTGCATCAATTTTTCTTGAAGCAAACTAAGGTTTGCTTAAAGGACAACATAAGTATTTACAAAGGAATTTTAACAGAGCAGCAGATTTAGCTGCGCATTGGATAAATCAGATACTTAATACATTTAAAAATCATCCGAAGAAAAAACTACCTCTATATACGTTACAAGACTCTCTCACAGAGATAATCCATCTCTCAAAGAGTTAATCCAAACTCAAACTCAAAACTCTTGTACAGCCACTCATATGAATACCAATAATATAAACATCTTAGGAACATGTGCTTTTCCTCAATACCTCCTCATTTAAAGCAACTAAACCCTAATTCCCAAGGAATTCTTTTCATACTTAAATTTCTATCTTATCTCCAAGTAATTTAAATTCTATTAGGACCTAAAAAAATCTCTGCCAACCCTAACAACAACCAATTTCTATTGCGACTAGCAACAATGGATCTTTACAGGGATGTGCATTAGAGATATCATATGGAAATAAAAATCGTCCAACAATTTAGTCCAATCAATGTAACTAGTCTAAATGGCCAAGAAAACGAGCAAGAGAGCAAAAATTATCAGAACACCTGAACTCAATGTTATTACTACGGGAGCACTGCGTTCAATGGTAAATACGAACCAAGAGAGATACAGACCCTATTCCACAATCCAGATTTAGAAAGTATTGATACCGAAGAAAAAAAAATCCAAAATGTTTGTTTTATCATCCAAACAGGCACCTTTCTGAAAATCTCACACCAACAGTATCACCAGCTCTAAGCAAAATCTAATAATGGCATCCTCACTATATGTTCGACGGTCGCCTTTAAGCATTTAAGAAAACACTCGAACGGCCTTCTACCAGCGCAATCTACAGATCGTCACAGAAATCTGCAATTTCCGTAATGACACTAAGAAAATAAGTCACCCACTTGATTATGGATGCGGAACAGTAAAGAGAGAAGGCGGGACCTGGACGGCAATGCTGCCGTAATTTGGCGGCTCAGATCGGAGGAAAACCGTCTACCTCCGCGGCCATTTTTCCCCCTTCGAAAAGGAGGTGGGAGACCCATCGAATCGCATCGATTCCACGGCGCTCCTCTCCTCCGACGAGAGACGGTGAGAGTGACCAAAGAGGCGTAACGAGAAGGCGACGCAGCCACGTTGAAGCCCAAATCCGTATTTAACGGGCCGGTCATAGTTTGGACCCGCATGACAAAACCCGACCCGTTTGTGCAATGAATTATAGTATAATTAAAACAATCCCGCATGACAAAACCCGACCCGTTTGTGCAGTTAATTATAGTAGAATTTAAAGAGTCCGACCACGTCGGACTCTCTCAACGCACCGGACAATAAACGAAGACATAAATACTTGACCGCTGCGTCCGTCCCCCATTTCGCCGACCCACCCCAAGTTTCCCATTCGTAACTGCCACCGGCGAGCATTCCTTTGCTGCTCCGCTTACGCTGCCGCCACCACCGCCGTCTGCATGGCGGAGGAACTAGTCGGAACGGGTGGCGCCACCTCGGACCCCGACGGTCCCGACGGCGTCCGTATGAGCTGGAACAATTGGCCCCGTTCCAAGATCGAGGCGAGCAAGTGCGTCATCCCCGTTGCTGCCTCCATCACCCCGATCCGCGCCTCCCCCTCCGTTCTCGTCCTCCCCTACCAGCCCCTCCGCTGCAAGCCCCCCTGCTCCGCCGTCCTCAGCCCCTTCGCCCGCGTCGACTTCGCCGCCAAGATCTGGATCTGCCCTCTCTGCTTCTCACGCAACCACTTCCCCCCGCACTACGCCGGCATCAGCGAGGCCAATGTCCCCGGCGAGCTCTACCCCCAGTGCACAACCGTCGAATACGCCCCACCGCCCCTCGACCACCACTCCGCTCCATCGTCTGCCCCGCCGCCGCCCCCCGTCTTCCTCTTCGTCATCGACACCTGCCTCATCGAGGAGGAGCTAGGATTCCTCAAGTCCGCGATGCGCCGGGCCATCGGCCTGCTCCCGGATAACGCCCTCGTTGGGCTGCTCACCTTCGGCACCCAGGTCCATCTATACGAGCTAGGGTTCGCGGATGTGTCCAAGATCTACGTGTTCAGGGGGATCAAGGAAATCTCGAAAGACCATATCTTGGATCAGCTCGGGCTCTCTGCTTCGAGTGTCCGGCATGGTGCCGCCGTTGGAATGCCAGGGTATACCAAGGCGCCGCAGACCAATGGGTTTCATCCGTCTGGATCGGTTCATAGATTCCTGCTTCCGGCTGCAGATTGTGAATACGCTCTCAGTTCGGTGAGATTTTTAATCTATTCCTCGAATTAGTTGATCGACCACCTTTTTTCCCCTCTTAGAGCTAAAAATTGTTTTTGTTCTGTTGCAGTTGCTGGACGAGCTGCAGACAGATCAGTGGCCAGTTGAAGCAGGGAGCCGTGCTCTTCGTTGCACGGGGGTTGCCCTAAGTGTTGCCGCTGGCTTACTGGGAGCATGCGTGCCTGGTACTGGGGCTCGCATCATAGCTTTGGTTGGTGGACCATGTACGCAGGGCCCTGGAATGGTAAAGATGCCTGCTTTATTTGGTGCATCTTCGTTTTCAAATCTTGTTCTGGGATTTAGTAATTAGTTTGCTTGAAATGAAACATTTGAATTTATGACCCATATTAATTCGGTGTCTGCATATTTGAGTTTCTGTTAAATGCAAGTTTTTAGATGTCCATCCAATACCAATTTCGGTAGGCTCTTGGATTGGGTACAGTATGGGTGTACCTTGCAGCATACTCACCCAGACCACCAAATGCCAGCTGAAAAATAAATAATAATACCAACTGGTATTGAATCCAATTCTAGTTGGACTAATAAATACTGGTCCGTGTATATCATACCAGCCAGTATTTGAAGCCTTGGTTAAATGTGACAGTGAAAACCAAATAAGCAAATAACTTAGTCATTGGATTTGTGGGTTTGTCCAAACATACTCTTTCCTGAACCTTTGTTGGGAGAAAGATTTCACTTACATATGATAAATTTAATTGTCTGTCTGTTGTTATCTCCATCCATTGCTTCAGCTAACATGGGCTGGATCTAGATGCTAGGTGATCCTTGCAATAACAACAACAGCCAGTCGTAAATTCCCAACTATCTATGGCGGACTACGCTTTTTCACTATTGAGCTCTGGACAAAATAATGGAGAAAATTTAAACCTTTTATAGTTTCTAATAAGATATTCATGAGTTTTCATCTACAATTTCTCACATCATTGATGCTAATTATCTCACATCTTCAAACTATAATACTTTTTAATTCATTTAAAACATGTGTTCATATCATTTTAACTTATTATTTCCCATTTAGATAGAGCTATGTTTGATTTTTCTCTTTCTTAGTAACTTTACACATCAATCTCAGCATTCTCATTTCATTGACACAAACATTTTATACTTTTTTTGTACCATCCAATACTGAATACTCAGATCCATAAAGTATTAATAAATTTTATTTGGTTCAATTCTTCAAGAATTATTTTTGTGTTTTGATTTTAGTTGTGCTTTCTAGGTTTATTTGTAACTTGACTATTGTTTCTTGGAATAGAATTCTGAAAGCTGAGCGGACTTGATCTGCCTTTAGGCATTTTTATTTATGTTCTATGATTATGTACCATTACAAAGTATGGCCATTTTTGACTTTTGGGATGGAAAGTCTGATCCATAATCTTTTTTCTAACATTTGCTAAGAGAAGCCTTTTTAATCAAAGACTACAATGATATTGGGTTGAGTGTTCTATGATTGTTAGGCTGTGACTTACATCATGAATTAACTAGTACAAACTGCATATGTCAATCGAAGTCTTTACTTGGATACTTTCTTAATAAGCAAATCTACAGTTAATTTCTTTCAATGAAGGCCCATAGCTGAAGTCTGCTTACAAAAGCAGTAAGAAATCATGATAACTGAGAGCATCTTAGACAACTTTAGCTGTGAAGATATTAACAATCGGTTTTTCTGTTTTTCTTCAAAATTTCTGTTACATCATTTACATTCTCAAGTTGTTTTCCTTATTAATATTCAGTTTATTCTTCTTGTCTCCACTTTATTTGTGATTTGCAGATTGTCTCAAAAGATTTGTCAGAACCAGTTCGCTCTCATAAAGATCTTGATAAAGATGCTGCTCCACATTTCCACAAAGCTGTTAAATTTTATGAAAATTTGGCCAAGCAGCTAGTTAGCCAGGGCCATGTATTGGACCTATTTGCTTCTGCACTTGATCAGGTTTCAGTCACATTTCATTGTATTAAGAATTTTCTCTGTGATTATTTGGGAGATTTCACTATGCTTTACATGGTTTCTCTGAATATTGGACATGCTAGTGGTATGATAATTTGATTATCGTGACATGCTTTAAGGTTGTTAAACAATTGACCAGTATGTGTATGAATTTATAGAGGATCCTTGTTTGAAGAATTTGCTATTGCACTGATTGTAATTTTATCATACGTTATTTTTATGCAATAATTTCATGTTAGTAATTAGTAGTATTTAAAAGTGCCTATACGAACTATTTTAATTGCTATTAATGGCAATTGTGTGGTACTTGGCATTGGACATCTTCAAAGATGCACCGTGCATGTGAATGCAACAAGATAACCCTGCTTTTTGCCCATATTATTTTTATGATACCCTTACTAAATTCCTATCATATTTTCATAGCTTACCACAACTTTAAAAGCAGCTCTTTTACTATATAACAACCTGTGGACATTTGTCAGTGAGCTGTTTTGCAGACAAATCCTTTGCAAAGTACCTTGCAGAAATTGACATGTAAAAAACTGTTGTGTTTTTATAATATTGTTCCCTTTCATTTTCCTTTTTTTTAATGTGTTTTGGTGGAGTGGATGGTGTTGCATCACTTTCAGGTTAATGTTTTACAGCCTAAACACTAATGTTTTGCCTTACCTTAGGAAGCTTCTATGATTGTAATTTTCTTATTGCTAAAAAAGGGAAATATGCTGTTATTGTCATTAATTTTATCTTTCTATTGTCAGAATGTTACTGCTGTGGATTTGCCATGTGTTGATTTAACTAACTCATCAAAGTTTGTTTTCATTTAATTCAATAATTGTTGTCATTTCTCCTTTTGCATGTAAATTCAGGTTGGGGTTGCAGAGATGAAAGTATCAGTTGAAAGAACAGGTGGACTTGTTGTTCTTGCTGAAAGTTTCGGGCACCCAGTTTTTAAAGACTCCTTCAAACGCATTTTTGAAAATGGCCAACAGTCTCTTGGTCTTTCTTTTAAGTAATTTTCTTGCTCTGTATGTAAATAGCAAAACTTGAAATAGCTCTATAAAAGAAATTGATTTGAAACGTATGTGCTATGAAATGATTGACATCAAATTCAATGCCAGAACATCGTGGGAGCTACAACAAGCTCCAGAAACAACTGGAGAATTCTCGAGAATCCAATTTGTTCTGATCAAGATTATTGAACATAATGTGATCCTACAGGCTTTTAACCAAAACTCAAATCCTTTAGGCATCATAGTTGACTTTGTGATGGTTTTGACTTCTCAAAGAAACATCGATCACATTGTTGTTTCTATCTATCAGCTGAAATGTTCATGCATAGCTATTGATAGATGTTGAAGTAAAAGAAACCGGTCAATGTGATCATCCATTTTTAACCTTATGACAACTTTGTCTCTTTTTTTTATAAGTGGAAAACCGCCAGTTGCATATAAGATTGGCATATTTCTTTTGCCATCTATTCCAAATTATACTCCTTTAGTATTTTTTATCAACAGAACCTAGAACCAAGGTCTAAATTCTCAGTCCTGTACTGATAATAGCTGTATGTCAGATTGGTATGATACAAGTAATCGAGTATCAAACCACACCTTGTTTGTATGGACCCTTACCGGTTGGGGGTGGCCTAATTGGCAGGTTCCAATTTTGAATCCCTACAACAACAACAAGCAAACCATAATGTTCCAACTATCTAAGGTTGACCACACAAATATTTTCCTGGCATTGTGTTTCAGACATCTAAAACCCTGATTGAACTCTTTTTTGTGTGTGTTTTGTCTCAATAATGAAACAAAAAATGTTTTTAGGATCTCTTGCAAGTCATTTATGAAAAACACATGTAAAAAACTTTAAGAATGTAAGAAATTAGCACATTACAAGATATGATACGTGTATTATAAAAAACTTCTTGGGTGGGTCTATGCCGATCTTTGTCGGATCTGTGATGATCTAGATCACTTTTATTGTCTTTTATTTTGTTAGTACTGCTTTCTTTTGAAGACAATAATTCTCATTATTATTATTTTGTTCCAGTGGGACACTTGAGATCAACTGTTCAAAGGATATCAGAATTGAGGGAATTATTGGGCCATGTACATCTTTAGAGAAGGTTGTCTTAAATCCTAATTTTACTGATTGACATAAGATACATATTGAAATGGTTTTTTTCTGTCCCAAAAATTTGAAATTTGAATTTGTCTGAAGTGGACTGCTGTCTTATTTAACATTTGCAGAAGGGAACTCTTTGTGCTGATGTTGTCGTAGGCCAAGGAAATACCACTTCGTGGAAGATGTGTGGTCTTGATAGGACTACTTGTTTGACTGTATTCTTTGAAATCGTACCAAGCGAACGGTCAAACCAATCTGGAATTCCAAATCCACAATTATATATACAATTCTTAACAAAGTATGATACCTTGTCATTTTGCTTTATTCATCACTTCATAGTGGGCCTAACTAATCAGTTACATGATGTCACTTGTATGTAGTTATCAGGGTCCTGAAGGTCAAATGAGGTTACGGGTTACAACCATCACTAGAAGATGGGTGGATGGTTCCAATGCAGAGGTTAGTTAGGAATATTCTGTTCTATGTTATGTTTGATTACAGATGAGAAAATTATTAATTGTTGGGGGTTTTTCGGATGTATTGCAAGAACTTGATTAGTTAATGATTGACATTTGATTGTCTTGTATACTTCTGTCCTAATTAGCAACTAATTGATGTTTGACTGGAGTATTCCATTCTGCTTTACTTATCATCGTGATTTGTTTGATTTGGTTTGTATTATCATGAAAGATGAAGATATGGATGATGTAGATAAATAATGCCTGGTGGTCCAAATGGAGCGATATCCGCTGTTCAATGAATTATGTCCGAACTTGGCAGTTGTGAGTTGTGACAAATGCCATGTGTGTTGATTGTGTTACCAACCAATATTGTATACAGTAGCACTGAGAGTGCCCACTGACAATACATGTGGTCATTTCTTTGCAAATTTTTAAGTCAATTAAACATAACATATCTAATGATGCTAGCCATGTTATAAGTTAAAATTAGATACTGACAGTCTGACATGTGAATTAACATGACTGTTTACAGAGTCTGGATAATCGTGTCTGTCCTTTCGATTTTTTGCATCAGGTATAATACAGTGAGATAAGAGGAGGCATTTATTAAGACGAGCATTCTGACATTAGATGATGTTATTCTGGTGAACATTAAATGTTAATCTGTTGGACTTGAGATATCCGATTAGATTTTCTTGTTGCAGAAAATTCCTGCGCGTGGTGTCTTAAACCAGTCTTCTAGTCATTATAGGTCGTGATACCTGGAACTTGTGTCCCAATTCCAAGCCTGGTCTGATTGTATCTGAGCCAAGTCCAATGTCTGAGATATCCATGTAGCGTAATATAGTATATGGGAGACAAAGTAAATACATACTGTGAAGTTGTGGTATCTATCTTGCTCATAAGATGATGAAACCTAGCTTGTCTTTTCACCTTTCTTATTTAACATTTCTTAGTATATGGGATACAACTTTTTGCAAACTGGTTTTTTTTTTTTACTGCTTTGGCTTATGAGGATTTAGTTTATTTGCTATTTTGCGCATCTTATTTTGTTTCTTCACTGGTCCTCATTTCTCAAGTGCTGGTGAATCAGTCGACGTTGGATTAAAATTCTGTAACGGGAGAAGTGACAGCAAGTCTTTATTTGGTGTTGTCAATTGTGATATGGATCAACATGTAAGTTAGAAATAAATGTGCATTTATTAGTATGGGTTGGTCATAAAGTTATCAATAATCGCTAAGAATAGGTAACATGTGTGGTTCCTACTGCCTAATTAGTTTATAATCCAATTGTTGTTAGATTATGCCACTTTAGCATGCAGCTTTGTCATAAAATAGCTATATGTTTTAAGTTTCATTTTGCATTTTATCAGAACAATAATGACTTGTTGACTTATTTTTGGACACTGTGATACAGGAACTGATTGAAGGATTTGATCAGGAAACTGCAGCTGTTGTTTTGGCAAGATACGTCTCCTTGAAAATGGAGATGGAGGTAAGCTAAGCTACATATTTGCATCGAAAAGCTCTCCGACAAGAGTCTTGATTTAGTCTTTTACAGTTTTACCCTTTGTTGTGACTTGGTACAGATTATAAGCTGATATATAGTTATGTTTATATTTAATAATTCTCTGAACACACTAATATGCCTAAAAAAGTATTTACCATCTTTTAGTATATTGCCTTTTGTGTAGCATGTTTGCATTCTGCTACTTGTAAGTATTCTTATTGTATCTTGACCTTTTTATATTTTTGGCAGATTTTAGAAGTTTGACCTTGTACGAATGAATAGGCTCTCTTTCATATGTTCAATGACCAGTGAACATCAAAACATTAGATATTATGTATCAAGTCTTGGTTTACTTTGTAACATTATGGTATCTGTTTAATTTTCAGGAAGAATTTGATGCAACTCGATGGTTGGATAGATCACTAATCCGCCTTTGCTCCAGATTTGGTGATTACCGAAAAGATGATCCTGCTTCATTTACATTAAATCCAAATTTTTCAATACTCCCACAGTTTATGTTCAACCTGAGGCGCTCACAGTTTGTACAGGTGCTTTCTTGGATTATTACCAAGAATTTTAAAATTGGTGAATGCTGAAATTTGTAATATGTAAACTTTTATGTTGGTGCATCTAAATTTTGTTTATGTTCTTCCTTCAGGTTTTCAACAACAGCCCTGATGAAACTGCTTATTTCCGTATGTTGTTGAATCGGGAGAGCATCACCAATTCTGTTGTCATGATACAACCTTCACTTCTTTCATATTCTTTTAACTCCCCTCCTGTTCCTGCATTATTAGATGTTGCGTCTATATCTTCAGATCGTATATTATTGCTAGATGCCTATTTTAGTGTTGTTATCTTCCACGGTATGACCATTGCTCAATGGCGCAACATGGGTTACCAGATTCAGCCTGAGCATCAGGTGACTTAATGATAATTTTATTTCTTACTACTCTGGTCATTATAATCGTTAATCATAACAGCCAGTTTAATTACAAAATCATGTTGTTTTTATATGTCTACATATACTTACAATTCAAGTTGAACTTCTCTGTATTTGGAAGTTAAATTATTTTAAGAGGAACACCTGAAAAAATAAGTAAATAAAACACAATGGACCTTTTATGATCTTCCACACCAACTGAGAATCAAACTAAAGAATATATTTAGAATCTATCTTAGAAGACAAAGTCCTAGAGAGTATATGCTCTTCTATGAATATTCAATAAAGAATATACCCAGAATCTATCTTAGAAGATAAAGTTCTAGAGTGCATGTTATTTTTCAGTGAATATCTAATCTTGTATTGAACTTTATATCTCTCAGCAAGATTTACCTCTCGTAGAAAGAGTCACCTTACGGCTGGGACTGCATTGTCAGAAAGTGGAACTGCTTTAGTCATAAAAAAGCAATACTGCATTTTTTAGCTTATGTCACTCTTTATTACCCGTCCACAATTACTTCCATTCTGCCGTAGCTTCTGCAAAACTGAAGTCTTTTTTCCTTTCTTTATGGACATAACAAATCATAAAATGTGCTGAGTACTGCCAACATCTTGTAGATTCTGAAGTGCTAATGACCAACTATGCCATCCCCATTGCCTACTCTTTTTTCTATTAATTTATAGGTCTTCTTCAATAATGCTAAATCTCAGAGAGAGAGAGAGAGAGAGAGAGAGAGAGAGAGAGATTGTACATCAGCTTTATCAACCATTTAATGATTTTTCGAGAGAGATTGTACATCAGCTTTATCAACCATTTAATGATTTTTCATTATGGTGACTTGGTCATCACCATTTAAGTTTTTAGACTTCAATATGTTTTGGTAGTATCAGACTCTTTCTTTTTTTCTTGAAGAGCTCTTTTCCACATTAGGAGCAAAAGATTGCCTGAGTTGTCAGATTAGTAGAAATCTCATCTTCCATGACACTGATCTATAACCAGGTTTTGTAGTCATCCTCCTGATGTAATAAATTTCTTATTCTCCCTATTCCAGTTTGGTTCACATCCAAATGCTTCATCTTTCTGATTTAGTAAAGTAGTTCTTATTTATGATTCATCCTGCTTGGTGGGCAATTTCTTTGGTATAAAGAAGCCATTTAAATTTACTCTTAGAACTCCTTTAAGAAAGCAACATTTACAGCTTATCTTAGATTATAAAGAGGCATCTTCATACTCACACATCTTCTACCTATATAATATTATTTATCTCCTGATACATTCTTCCCCCATTTACATGATCAATCAACTTATGGTTTATTTTCATAATTTTGTGTACCGCTTCTCATCCATGTTTCACTTTTTTGCTGAATGGTGCTTATCTCAGTGTTTCAACACAGCTTAAACTTAAGATAAGCTATAGTAGTTGGCTCATAACATCGAGACATATCCTGCATGCTTGGTAAAAGCATACATACAGCATGTAGTGGGTAATTTTAATATAAAAGAACACAAGCCAGAGCAAATAATGCAAAAAATAAAAAATAATATTTTTAAAATCCATTTGCCTTGCCGACTCCATAAAGTTATGTAATGTGGTGAACCTTTTTTTACATAAAAATAATGTATGTTTTCCTTTTCTATTTCTTGTGACCAACAGGCTTTTGCTCAGCTGTTACAAGCTCCTCAAGATGATGCCCGGGTGATCATCAGAGACCGCTTCCCTGTGCCCAGATTAGTTATCTGTGATCAGCATGGCTCCCAGGTCTGTGTTTAAGTTTTCTTTTTCTTTGTACTGCTCCTCTGCTATGCCATGTTTTGTTGTGCTTCATCATGCTATTCCTCCACACTATCATCACTAGCAACTTAGTTACTAATCATATCAATTTCTTTCACTCTGGCCACAAAATACCTGTCATTTGAAAATGGGTTAGGCAGGCATTTCCATAAGAGCAAATGTAAACAACGCAACTCTTCTTCGTGTTAAACATTCTTCTATCGTTAGAAGATACTGTTGAACTTCTGGAATTTGAGTGATCAATGAACCTGAAGTTTATTTATCATTACACTGTGTGCTCAAGGTTCTACAAGGGTCTGGCTGCTGACAACTCCTGGTGTTTCTGTTCTCTACAGGCAAGATTTCTGTTAGCCAAGTTGAATCCATCAGCTACATATAACTCTGCCCATGAGGTGGTGCCGGGGTCTGATGTCATCTTCACTGATGATGTTAGTCTTCAAGTGTTCTGTGAGCATCTTCGAAGACTGGTTGTTCAGTCATGAGGACATGCATTTTGCTCAACTTAATTAATTATGGTAAGCATAATATGTAGGTGTGAGTCGTCTGGTTCTCCGTCATGTTCTGTCAGTTTTCTTTTCCACTGACAATTAGGCTTGATGTTTACCAGTTTCTTTGGGTTTCAGACAATGCATTCGCTGTTTATGGAGTTGACTTCATCTGGGGACCGAGGTGGGTAGCTTCTGCCAATTTTTGGGAGTCTTGGTATATGGGAAATTTAAATATGGTACAAATCAGGTTGACATTTTTGGATGGGAATTCAGTCAGGGTAACTTCTTTTTCTACTTTTCTTCTTTACTCACTCGACATTGTTCACTGAAAGTGGACATTTTTGGACCTCTTACATTTATATATTTTTTTATAGTAATGAAGTCGAAATTGAACAATGTGGCCTGGAGAAAACATGTAGGGCCTATTTATTAGTTTTATATAAATGGAAACATTGCTCTTTTATATTGTTTTCCTTCAAATCTTGGTCATTTGTTTGTGAAATTTTTGGAAAAGATTAGTGTGTTTCACATTAAGCTTACAACCTAATATGAATAATTAATGAATAGCATGTAATTTCCAAGACAACTTAGATAACCTCAGACACTTGTTTGGTTGATGGTTGGTTGCCCTTTCCTAGTTCAGCTTTCATCTCTTTTATATCATCTTCTTGCACATGGAACGCCCGAATTCCTATTAACTCTTATCTATCGTTGTGGCTTGTGGAAGCTCCGTTTCTTGCAGAAAACCCACATCACATCACATGTTTGTGCTTCGACTGACCTCTTCTAGCTTTGGAACATGAAATGTAGGTGTGTGTGAAATGTCAAGCAACTTTGTTGATTTGGATTGTCGACGAGACCCTGAGATCTCATAGCTCATGAGACGCCTTCACATCTCCCCTCGTCCTTGTTTTGTTATAGTGCTTTCTTTTGCCAAGACAAACAGGTTCAATTGAGATCGTGTTGTGAATAGTTATTCAATACACAAGCCTTCGAAGTTATTCGGATCCAAACCCGCAAGCCGATAAGAATGTCGACTCGATCCGACAAAATTATTCGGATGGTGATTTTATTATTTCATTTAGTACAAAAATATATTTCACTATTTAGATATTTTTAGATCAAAGTGAAAAATATATACGAAATGAGTTCTATTATAATGTACATTTTGTAGTTATTCTTTTCACATCATATAATATATTAAATTAAGATCATAATAGGTCTTTTCAGAGAGATTCTTTTGACACCATCAGAATGGAACGGCCCATTGAACCGGCCTATTAAACCGGGCCAATTGTTAGACCCAAAGCCACTCCCGCGCGATCAAACCCTGAGCCGAACACACCGTTTCGTGTCATCGGGTGTCGAAATGACTGAAACACCCTCGACCCCTCCGAAAAAGGACGGCTCCGCCTGCTCCAGCGTTTTCGTATTTCCCCCCAAAGCACAGTGGCAGTATCGTTATTAGACCCCAACCACGGCCCCCTTTTCACTAACCAAAAACCCCAAGGCCGCTTCCCCTAATCTTCTACCATATTTCTGCGCGGCCGCTTCGATCGCTCGACGACCGCCGAAGGAGAGCGAAAGCGAGCGTATAAAAGGAGAGAGAAAGAGAGGGGGAAAAGAGGAGAAGAAGGCGGAGGAGAGAGAAGCCTTTTCTCCTCTTGAAATCGAATCCTCTCGCGGAGCTGAGAAGAGGGGAGCTAGGGTTTGGGAGAGGTCCCGCTCGCTCGTCTCTTCTCCCCTCCTTTCTGGGTTGTTCCGCACTTCGAGGGCACTTCGTTGGTGATCTCTCTAGGGTTTTCTTGCTGGATCTGGGCGTGCGGTCCCATGGCGGAGCGATTGAGGGATTTGAGCCAGCCGATCGATGTCCCCCTCCTTGATGCGACCGTGGCCGCTTTCTATGGGACGGGATCCAAGGAGGAGGTGCGTTTCCCGCTTGCGCCTGGCGTTCTTTTTGGTTCAGTTTCCTTCGTTTTAGGGTTCTTGGTGGCGGTTCGCTGCTCCCGGGTCGGTGGGTTTTGTCCTCCGGGGGTTGCTAGGACTTTGGATGGTATTGGGGGCACGCTTATAGCAACTTCATTTTTTCGGTTGAGTATCACAAGTAAACCGGGGATTGATTCAGGAAGAAAATGCCGCTCCTTTCTTTGCATTTTCTTAGAATGCCTCGATTGTGTGGTTATCGAATTTTATTTATTTTGTTCTTTGGTGTTAAAAAAAATGATCTGGTTATGCTGCCTCGTTGCTGTCGTCGCCTTTGAGTATAGCAACGAGCTTGTCTATTTGATTTGTTCTTGAGTTTATTTTTTTGGGTACATGGACCGTAAGGGCTAGTTCTAGCTCCTAATTTTTTATTTTATCTTATGTTTAATTACCTTTGATCTTTAATTTCTTTTGTGAAACCTTAGCTGATCTTTAGCTTGCTATTTGTTGCAGAGGTCAGCTGCAGATCAGATACTGCAGGAATTGCAGACCAACCCCGATACCTGGCTTCAAGTGGTTCACATTCTACAGAATTCACAAAGCTTGAACACTAAGTTTTTTGCACTCCAGGTTAGTTGGAAACAATTATGTGACTGTTTGAGGTAACATATTTTTTTCGATATGATGATATAAACCTGGACTTGTCATGGGTGAGAGAGTCTGGTGTGTAAATTGCACATTTAATTGGTTATCTTGTTAAGAGATTTAAAAGGCCATATCAGTGCCAATTGCAGTGTTGCAGGGCAGTTTGCTATAGGTGTAAATGAGTTGAAATGTGCTAGGACTCTATATATCATGGTTCCTATTGTCAAAGAATGAGATGTAGATATGGATTATTATGTTCATGGAAAAGAATACAAGGGTATATAACTCTTGAAAAGGTGGTGTCTTATTGATATCTTTTCCTTTTCTGTATAATTTGATCCACGGTTCACCTAAATGAATGAAGTGACAACAGTTTTGATGTTTCTTGTCTACAATGTGGAACAGGGGATGTTACTTATTTAAGATAGAAATGTTTTGTCTCTTTTCCGATTTACCTGTCAAAACACACATCAGAACATGGCCTTCTTCGTGGAAACAACATGGAGGTGACATGACGCTAATATAATAAAGGTTTAATAAAAGAAATAGGGGGTGGCTGATCTCAAACCTGCCAAAATAATGTATATGATCAAAGATTTTCTTAATTAGGTTGGTTGTAAGAACAAATTGCTCCTAAAAATGGAATTCTTATAGATGTACCACTTAGTTCCAAAACCAACCCGAGTGTCTCACTACATACCTTAGGTTCAAGTATGGTTCTTGCAACTGTGGGTACGTGGACAATGTCATCATGTGTGGCTATCGAATGGAAATGTTCCAAACTGAAATGATTGGCAGAATATTGCTCTCGGTAGTCATTTTGTTAGTCAGCCAGAAGGCATAATAAGATGCATTTTTAATATTTGGTCTTGTAATTTTGTTTTGAACTTCTTTGTTTCTGTTACCTGATGTTAATGAGTAAAGCTTTAAAATTGAATATACATGTGCATATGCGTGTCTATTGTTCATGTCCTTTAGTTCTGGGTTAAATTTGGAGCCTTTTTGACCAGCCTAATTATTCCCTTCATAGGTACTAGAAAATGTCATTAAGTACAGATGGAATGCCTTGCCAGTTGAACAGAGAGATGGAATAAAGAATTATATATCTGAGGTTATTGTACAGGTAACTGTGGTTCTGTTTTCTGGTTTACATGTAACATGCCTAGATCTTTTTCTTTATTACTTCTGTCCTAACTGTTCTTTGTGTTGTGGGACATTTTTGTGAATTCAATCAGCTTTCTAGTAATGAAGTTTCCTTCCGAAAAGAGCGGCTGTACGTCAATAAGCTTAATGTCATTTTAGTGCAGGTAATGGCAAGTATTTTTTACAGTCATCTTGTTCAGAGCCAGTAACTGTTAGCCTCTTCTGTCTATGAGTTATGTGATTTCAATTTTTTTTAGCACAATCTCTTATGTGTTGGGATCGAGATAATTATATTGTGTATCCTGAAGAGTAGGTTTTAAAGCATGAGTGGCCAGCCAGATGGCAGAGCTTCATTCCTGATCTTGTTTCAGCTGCGAAGAGTAGTGAAACTATATGTGAGAATTGCATGGCTATACTAAAGGTGTGTGTATATTTTTATGCAATCAGTCTTAATCTTAAGAGTATTTGCTAACATAGTTACTAATTACACAGCTTTTGAGTGAAGAAGTTTTTGATTTCTCTAGAGGAGAGATGACTCAACAAAAAATAAAAGAACTTAAGCAGTCTTTAAATAGGTATGATTTATCTGATCGTTGTGCTTTTTCATAATGTTTAACTGCCTTCTGTACTTGTTGCTGTACTCTGCTAAGTATTATATGTGCTATACTTTTTATTGTATTACTGTCCAAAGCACAGTTATCAAGATCGGTATGGGGGTTGACTGGGTTCACAATTTGGATTGATAGGATTGGATCAACAGGATCAGAGTCAGTAATGAAAAAATTCATACAAAAATAGCAAGATACAAGAAAAGCAAATAATATTTGAGAAAATATAATTTAATGTCAAATGAGCATTTTGTTTTTATATTTTATAAGATATTATCAGAAAAAATAAAAAAACTGAACAAAAGATACAAATTGTATAATAATGACAATGACAATAATATGCAATAATTGATTAGTTTTAACTATCACATATTTTTAAAAGATATATACAAATATTATTATAGGGAATAACATTTAATATAGCAAGCAAAAGATCTTGGCCAGCTGTACCTTTGAATATAACTATAAACCCCACTGTGACACAATGGTTCTGTAATCAGACAATAGAATGAAGTATTTCAAAATAAGCAAAAAAAAATTTAATATCACATTGAATCACATGGCATCTTCATTTTTGTAATAGCATCTCTATTTTGTTAAAAGGTGAAGGACTAGTTCACATCCTTTTTCTTTCTTTGTACCTTTTTTCTCCATCTCGAATTACAACTTAACACAACACAAACAATAAACAAAATGTTAATCTTTCATTTCACATGCTTAGTCATCAATTTTTTTATAGCTTCTTAATTACAGCTTCTCTTTTCTCTATCCTGTCCTAGCACTTTCCTTTTTTCTATTTCTTCTGAGGCTGTGAAAGCAGCAAAAAATTGACCAAAATTGGTGAACTCCAGTTGAGTTCCATTGGTTCAGTCAGTACCACCTGATTTCTGGTTATGCGGGCAAAAACACTGCTATTGTTGGATGGGATTTGGATGACACTGATAAATTGGGCTGCTCGGATCAGTTTTAATCAATATCACAAACTGTGTCCCAAAAGCAAGACTTCATTTTGGCAATGCCTTTCGTTCTTTAACAGAGCCACTGCAAGAGAGCTTTTGCAACTTCTTGTTTCTACTGCAAGGTGGTTGCATGAGTGAATTCTGTTTGGCACTAACATTCTTAATCAATAGTAGAGCTACAATTGATTATTAGTTGCAAGTAGGACCGAATGACGTCGGAAAATGTAGAAAGCCAGTTCTGATCCGGACATCTTCATGTTCTCAATTGTAGTCTTCCCTGGATTATAGCAAGGGCTGTGTGGTTTGGTGATGGTAGCCCATTCTAAAGTGGTAGGTAGAATTTGTAAAAGTAGAGGGTTTCACTTTTGGAAAGATTCAAGTAGAGAAATATCACTTTCAGAAAGATCCTCACTTTCTTGAATTCGACTTCAGTTGGACCTTTGCAGTCATTTACGGAAACTAAATTGTTCTTTTTATACAAAGAGAATTCATTGGAATTTAGTTCCAAATTTTGGATTTTGTACAAACGAATATTGATTCATCTAACCGACGGACAAAATGAACAACCTATGGTAAGTGAGAGCTAACTGGAAAATCTTGCTAGATTTGTCTTTACCTGGAAATTGTGAGAATGGGACCAGTTTTTATGTTTAAAATTATAAGTTTGAGGCTGAAATGACAAAATTATGATCAGATATGTCACACTCGGTAAACAAGTGTTTGCTGTTTTTCTTTGTTCTGCCTACCAAGCTTTCTTCTGAATCAGTAGATATTTTAGTGTTTCACTTTCATTCTGTTATGCAGAGTAGGGGTCATACAGAAGGTTTTTGTTTGTCGTTCTTATCATACTTCCATTAAGCTACTACTTTGGCTAGTTTGTGTTGAATTTCTCTTGACCTGTAAGATCGGTTTTCCAATATGGGTAATATTAATATGCTTCAAAGTTCAATGTTTGAAATCCTATCTACTTTTTCATCTCATGCCATTCTAATGATAGTATTCAATGATGTTTTCTTGTTCTTTAGCACTTTTCACTTATCTAGTAACATTGGAACTTATGAATCTACACTTTGTCTTCAAAACAGTGAATTTCAACTCATTCATGAGTTATGCTTATACGTATTATCAGCGTCACAAAGAACAGAGCTTATCCGGGCTACCTTGGCAACACTTCATGCTTTTTTGTCATGGATTCCACTTGGTTACATATTTGAATCTCCATTGGTTCGTTCTTTCATGACCATAAGCATCGATTTTTGATGTTCTAGTTTGTGGTAGATGGTAAAAAAAATATTTTGATGTAGTTATGGTGGAGCTTATCTTTATTTTCTGTAATTCTTCTCAGCTCGAGATACTCTTGAAATTCTTTCCCATTGCATCATACCGGAACCTTACACTCCAGTGTTTGACAGAGGTACATGTCTATTATATTGCTTTTAAACTTGTGTTTTTTAATATTACCTTTTGATATGAAGAGCTTGCTAGATGTTTTATCTGAACTATGATGTAGTGTCAAAGTTTGTGCTAGACTCGGAATAGGACAAATTTCCCACGAGGAATTACATTTGTAGTAGGAGCTTAGGCTTGCCATTACCATCTTTGTTACTGCTGGTCTTTTCTTAGAACAGGATAGTAACAACTAATGCTAATTTACAGGTTGCAGCACTTCAATTTGGTGATTTTTATGACATGCAGTATGTAAAGATGTATACAATCTTTATGATACAATTGCAGGTATGTTTGCTGTGGTGGTTTTTTACTTTTGTATTAAATTTATATATTTGCTCATGACTATGACCTTGTTATGGACATTGCTATCTTGAATCGTCTATTCTGTACTTTTATATGGTGAGATTGTTTATTTGATGTGTAGACTATTATCCCAGCTGGTACAAATATCTCTGAAGCTTACACAAATGGTTCCAGTGAAGAGCAGGTATACCTTTGTTTCTTTGGGGATTAGCTGTTTAACGAATCAACCTCTGTCAGCTATTAGTTTGTTTCTTTATGACATTCAATGAACTATACTAACATATTTTTCCCTATGTAGGCTTTCATCCAAAATCTTGCACTGTTTTTTACTTCGTTTTGCAAGGTAGGTTCTCCTTCTTCCTTGATCGTTTTCTTGAAACTAATTATTAGTTCCATACATGCAAGATTTATGTTCTCTTTGGTAGAATTATGCTCCCATTATGGTTTCCAATATTATTCCTAGGAAGGGGTGCCTTGAGTCGTGGTTTTTTATTTTATTTAACATCATACTGAGTGTCATTTAAGCCATAGTTGGTTTGCTGCTGCCTTTATTGTAGTTTTATAATGTATTCGTTGATTTGGCTCTGAATTGAGATGTAAGCCTGTCAATGGAATTTGTGGCATCTTTTTATCATGTTTGTGACTTTTTTATTGTGCTTGATTCTTATGCAAGTTTACTATTAAGTTGTTGTCATCTGTCTGAAATCATAAGTGCTGTGTCTTAGATTCAACAAGAGATTTTGGTTGTAATATTCTGCTGTTAGCATATGCGTATTGAAAGCAACTTATCAGTTAGAATTCACTGTGTTTATGGGGCTCTCTCTCCCTTTACAGTCTCACATACGAGTGCTCGAATCTACTCCTGAAAATAGAGCTGCATTATTGACGGGTCTTGAATACCTTATTAGTATCTCATATGTTGATGACACAGAGGTTTTCAAGGTATTGTGATGCCTATTCATTGTAATATAACAAAATATTTACAATGCATTGTAATCTGTGGTGGTCACTGTTTTATTGAATGTATGGGCAGGTTTGCTTGGACTACTGGAATCTACTGGTCCTAGAACTGTTTGAGGCACATCACAGCCTGGATATCCCTGTTGTTTCTGTGGGCTTGATGGGTCTTCAGGTATCTTTTTGTGGCATTTAAAGTTGGAGAGTGTTTCTCTCTTTATCCACACACACACACATATGTAAGGGAGTATGTTCCTATTCCTCTCCACTTTTATAGCATAACATTGAGGTATCCTCTCTTGTTAAAGTATCCAGGTCTACCTCCCTTTAAGCTGAGTAAATCTGTTTTGGTGTTAAAGTCACCTATATACTTCTACATTTTTATATTAACTACTCCTTTCTTTGTCATCCTCCGAAAAGTGTGTTCTGAAATTTTATTGTTTGGAAAATCTATCAGAGTTTTTTTATATGTATCTTTGTTGATCAAGTGTCTCAATGCACAATCTTAATTTTCAAATAAATGGATGTGGGATATGGAATTAAACATCTGCAGAGCTTCATCGAAAGTGTTCATTTTTAGGAGATATTTAGAATTTCATTTTATTTTAGAACTTTTAAGTTAGAAAAGGGACATGTGGGTAGTTTTTCACTAAGAAGCATGGACATGGAACGTAGACATGATACGACACGAATATGGTGACACGCCATTTAAAAAAAAAATCAGGCATGGACACTGCTAGGACACATGTATTTTTAATATATATATATATATATATATAATATTTGATTAACTTGAGTTTTATAGTGTTTATACTTAAATTTTATAAACTCCAGATATATGTTTAACAATATATGATTGATTTATGCTTCCTTGCGACAATCTCTAAATTTCTTTCTTTTCAATGCTGATGATCTGTCTCCATGTAGAAACTGAAGCAAATGGCCCTCTCACGAGGGCCACACGATGAAGTGCATGGGAGCGAAGTGGGAGTGGTGTCGTGTCCCACAAGTATAAATGAAAATAAATAAAAAAGACACAATTGGACATGTGTCGGTTACGTGTCCAGCCATGCATACGTGTATGACATGTGTCAAAACGGACATGTCCACCAAAAGCATGTGTCCGTGCTTCTTAGGTTTTGCATTAATATGTTTGAGGTTTTACCTCAATCATGCTTTTGAAGCAGATTTTGGTACTATGTTCATTACCATCGTGTTACTTATTGGAAAAATAAATTAGTGATGATGCTTGAGTTCTTTCAACTGAATTGAATATTTTTGTGCCAATGCAATTATATCTTTCCTGCCGTTTGTTTTCGTGTAGTTTGTTTGTGATTTTATGATAGTGACTCTCAACATGTTAATTTCTGACTGTCATAATTGGTTTCTTATTTTATATTGTCATGTTGATTAAACTACAATGGCTTTTTTGCAATACACCTTTTTATAATAACACCGTCTCTGGATTTTTCAGGCTACGTTGATCCCAGAGGTGGTTGATGGCCTTGGTTCGCCACTTCTTCAGAGACGGCAGCTTTATTCAGATCCATTATCAAAATTAAGAACTCTCATGATTTGTCGAATGGCCAAACCAGAAGAGGTTTTGATTGTTGAAGATGAAAATGGAAACATAGTTCGTGAAACTATGAAAGACAATGATGTGCTTGTTCAATATAAGGTTTGTTCTTGATTCTTTTCCTGGAAACTTCAACAATGCGTCTCATTTTCTTCACCTACCATATATATGATTTTGATGGTCAACTTTGAAACTTCCTATGTAGCCCACAACGCTGAGTTCTTGATCTGATGACATTGTCCTGCATTCTGTGACTTAAATGTTCAAATAAGTGGCTTAAGCTTTTTAGGATCAAAATGCAATTCTATTGTCGAGAGGACAAACTTGCTAGAAAATTGTTTCTTTTTGGTATCTTAGTTGCTGAATTATTAAATTTGTTTTGATTTGCTTATGTATTGTGATTCACTGTTGCAGATCATGAGGGAAACACTAATATACTTGTCACATCTTGATCATGAGGACACAGAACAACAGGTACAACATAATGATGTATATTTTTTTTCATTAATTTTGGCTATGAACAACAAGAATTTGGTTGGCATGGACTTGTTTTTCTGGCCTCAGATACCGTTTTTTGGTATCTTGAGTTGTAGAAAGAGTGTAGTTAGGCTATGAACAACAATAATTTGGTTGGCATGGACTTGGTTTTCTGGCCTCAGATACTGTTTTTTGGTATCTTGAGTTGTAGAAATAGTGTAGTTACTAGAAAAAGAGTGCATAAGTGTACTTCACAGTTGGTGGTTTAGTCAAGTTGGTGATTTTCTGGTCTATTAAGGGCATCACCAAGTTATGTGAATACTAGTATTTAGACTCGTGAGCTGCAAACCTTAGCAGGTTTCTAGTTCAGTATTTATATGACTTGTTAAAGTTAAACCATGTTACTGAGATGGACAAAGTCCTGTTGTCGCTCATTTCATAGTTGCTGGCTACATATGTTGGTCAATCTTGGTTTGTTGACATACAATGGCTAATCTAGGCTTCCTGCTTTTACTGAGAAGTGCCATACCTATATTTCATGTTATGTAAATTGCTCTAATAAGCGTCTGACTATATATTAATGGACATTATTTAGACAACTGTTTCTAGATGTTCCAGATTACTCATCTAACTTCATGAATGTAAAGAGGCTATGCTTTTCTTGATGGGTTAATTAGGTTGATATTGACCAGAGAATGTGTGCACTTAAAACAAGAATTTTACTTGTCTGTTCACCAAGGTTGTATTCTAGATCCTACTTATATATTTATATATAGACATATTTCCTTTTACTTGGCTTACTATGGTTGGTGCCTTATGTTCAAACAGAAGAATCTTTGTTGAGCCTGTTGCAGTAGGTCTTAAAATTGAGTAATCATTTCTACTTTTCTCACTCTTTCTAGACAGGTTGTTAGTTTAACTAATTTGACACTAGAATTGCTGTGCTTGTATATAAGGAATTAATCTAGCTCTTAGTTTTGCAACTAATATTTTTGTACCTAGTTCAGTTAAGAGCTTATTTCGCACGTGTTATGTGATTATTGTGACAGAATTTCTCTTTTTACAAATCCATATATTATTCACAATTGTCTTGGCCATACAGAAGTTCTATAAATTGTTCATGATTGGCCTTGCCTTTGAATCATTTGGGTGCAACTACTCAATTTTTGCTGTTAAAACTTAATAATTTGTTGGCTTTTGTTTCTTTTCTCAGTGTTTTTTTAATCCAGTTCTATGTTGCTTGATGTTATCTGGTCTTCTTTGCTAATAGCAATTTGATTTTATATATAATTTTGGTTTTAGATGTTGAAGAAGTTGAGTAAACAACTGAGTGGGGAGGAATGGTCTTGGAACAACTTAAACACATTGTGCTGGGCTATTGGATCGATATCTGGTTCAATGATGGAGGAGCAGGTACACTTTCTGATGATGATGATGCTTGCACTTCATGGAGAATGTACTCTTAGGCTTCTGGTTCCTTTGTCTTGGATAATTTGATTTTTGTGTTTTGGTGAATGATGACTACTGTTTTGCTGGGAACTTCTTTTTCTTGTTCGAGAGGTTTATATTCTTGGTTAAGTTTGGATCTCTTAGTAAGTCTTCTCAGATATGGTAAATGCCATGAACTATGATATGACTAGTTGCTTTCAGAGGATATGATAAACTATACCTATGTTACTATTTTCTTTGTGGAGAGTTGAATACTAATATAAATCGAAAAAGGGAAAACAGCCGTGTTTTGGTCTTTTGGAAAGTAGAGCAAAAACCTTCTACTTTAGAGGTTTAGATGTGCCTTTTGCAGGTTATTTATGACAAAGCATAAGATCTTTGTCTACATAATGACTAAATCTTCTGCAAAATTCAACATAGTAATTGGTTTCTCACTTTCTTGCTTTTGTACATATAATATATCTTTTTCCTAAATCTTTTAGAGATATCTATATTTGTTAAGCTTTGTCTTTTCTGTTGTTGAAATGCTTCTCTGCATTTTTTTTAACTTTTTCAGTAACTAATGTTTATTTTATTTATAATGGTCTTAATCTTGCCAGGAAAATAGATTTCTAGTTATGGTCATTCGTGATTTGCTGAATCTTTGTGAAATTACAAAAGGAAAAGATAACAAAGCTGTGATTGCAAGCAACATCATGTGAGCTAATTGCTTCTTTTACATTGTTATTTCATTCCGTTTGATAATTTTGTCTTTAACCCATGCATTGTTTGGTATAAATTTTAGGTATGTTGTAGGACAGTATCCAAGGTTTCTTCGAGCCCACTGGAAGTTCCTGAAAACAGTTGTGAATAAATTGTTTGAGTTTATGCATGAAACTCATCCAGGAGTTCAGGTGATTGTTTTTTGCTTCTTGTTTCTGAGTTTTCAGAGTTTATGTAATTACTGCTACAAGATTTTGCGTTGATTCAGTTTGGGCTGTGGAGCGGCATATATGCAGAATACAATTTAGAAGTTCAAAAAATACTTGGCACTTTACTGCTGGATTTTGAATTTGTTGGTCATGTGAAAATTAGTGCACCAAACTTTTAACTTAAATAACTAGATGGTGTAATTGTGTGTTCTTTTTCAATTTGTTACAAACACATTTACAATTTATTATGAAAATATTTATATTAAATTGCTTTCTGGATGCTTGATGCAAATTAGCTCAATATGGAAGAATTAGATTTTGAGCTTTGAGATAATGTTTTTAAATTAATGTTTAGCCTGAGACTTTGGTTTTTGCCCCTTCAGCTGAAACTGCTCTGTAGGACCTAATCAGCTTGTAATTCAAAATTATAGAACATGCTGGAACCATGAAAACTCAGGGTTCCGGTTGGTTACAAGTCTCCATAGTTGTTAGCTTTTAAGTGGTTCTTTTATCCATAGCCACCAAGTCTATTAATCCAATCTGTCATTTAAGTGCTTGCATTATTTACATCTCCAGTTAGTTGTCTTGGTTGATACTGGTCACACTGAATTTAATTTTCCAAATTGTCTAAATATCATAAGGAATTTGATATACATCCTATGATTTGATCCATTTAAATTGCTATGTACTGAATTTTATCTCATTTTCAGGACATGGCTTGTGATACTTTTCTGAAAATTGTCCAGAAATGCAAGCGGAAGTTTGTGATCACACAGGTAAGTTAAACTTTGCTTGTTAATAATAGTAGTGGAATTCCTTTTTCTGTCCCTGTGAATAGTTCTCTACTCAATTGCTCAGTCATGTTTTTGATCAATTTAAGTGATTCCAGTTGCATTTGAATAATCATGGAATGCAGTAAATAAATACGTGTTGGAGTTCATTAGGAATAGTTGTAATCTATTTCATAGCAGTGCAGGGTTCTGTGGTTCCAGTAAATGGTGAGGAAACCTGAGAAAGCTTATTGCATACTCAGAAGATAGATGAAAATGGTGGTTAGCTTTACTCTCTGGTTAGGGTTCATATTGAATTTTATGGTTGAATCATTATGATTTGGATACTGGCTCTTTTTCAGTGCTTCTGTCAATTTGTAATCATGCCCTTCAATGGACTGTTATAAAACACAAAATAACGAGTGCATTTTAAAGGCCAGTAAATAATGTGTCCCTTCTGGTAAGCATGTCAAACTCTTGGGTCACCAATTCTGCCAAACAGCTATCGACATATAGCTATGTGGCATATCACAGTACAGTTCATTACTGTAATATGTGCAACTTTTTAGGCAAAGTGCTTGAATGATGGTTGTGTCAGCAATGACAAAATGAGCACAACCTAGTTGTTGGCCCTTCTTAAGAATTGGCTTTGCTGTACAATAATCTTACACTTGGACCAGCAGAAGCTCTGCATATGTTACAGCAGAAGCTGTAATATGCTCAACTCCTTTCTTCCTTGTAATAGTTGTGGGGGAATTTCTCATATTTCTTGCATTTGGAGAGTGCAAAAATTGATGCTGATGAAGTATCCTGACATATTCATGCATTTTGAACCCCTCTAAAGCAAATTTTTTTTTTTTTGACAAATCTAATTCAGTGCCAAGCTTTAAACCTTTTGCAAGGCATACATTTGAAGTAATCTTCTTTTTTTTTTAAACTTGAAAGTAACATCTGATTTCATTTAAGAAGTATTATTCACCTCATTATGTGGCTTGATGATTTGGTTATTAAGAAGGTGACATCTTTATAAGGTGACTTTGTTCTGATCTTGGCATCTGCTTACCTGCTTGGTTTATTTTGTCTGCTCATGGTGATTGGGATCTTCTATCTTGATGTCTTTGGATATTTGAGAATATATGTTGAATAATATGAAACTGCACTCTCAGTGGTTTCTTATGGATAATTTGTTGGGGTTGGGGTCCAAATTATTATTATTATTATTATTATTATTATTATTATTATTATTATTATTATTATTATTATTATTATTATTATTATTTTGTGTTTTGGTAGTCATAGAGTTCAGTCAGCATCAAAGATACTCTATTAGCACAAACATGTATGCATGAGTATATCTTATGGACAGAATGTTGTCTGATGATGCAGGTTGGAGAGAATGAGCCATTTGTCTCCGAGCTTCTATCTAGTCTACCAACTACAGTTTCGGATCTTCAGCCTCACCAGATTCACTCATTTTATGAATCTGTAAGCATAAACATTTAATATTTATATTGCAACCCCTTTTTTCTTATGAATATACAATTTTCTTGACCATATTTTTCTACTGTGGCTGAATGCAGGTTGGTCACATGATTCAAGCAGAATCTGATGCTACTAAGAGAGACGAATATCTGAAAAGGTTAATGGATCTTCCTAATCAGGTAAATACCACCCTTTGATCTAAGTATCTTATTTCTAATCTTTTATAGTTTTTACAGTCATATGCTAAGTTATAAAATATTAATATCACATGTAGTGATGGCCTTTACCACAATGTATGATTATTGTAGAAATGGGCTGAAATCATTGGACAAGCCAGCCGTAGTGTTGATGTCCTGAAAGATCAAGATGTCATAAGAGCAGTTCTGAACATATTGCAGGTACCTATGGAAAATGTTTTTTCAATTTTGCAAATGACAATATGATTACTAGTGACTAGTTGAGATTACTACGTTGGTTCACAATTATTATTGCAATTATTATTGTCAATTTTTCAATTGACAATATGATTACTACGACCTTATAGATAAGGTCGTAGTCTAGCAGTTCATATTTCTTATTGTTTCTTATATGTCATAATGTTTTTATCTAAATGTCTTTTTTATTTTTATATCCATGTCCTAATTTTGACTTTCTGGCTTGCTGTTATCCATATCCTAACATCTATTTTAATAACCATTCAATATGTCTTAATCAGAATATATTTTTTAATATTTTGTAGTAATCTCTGTAATAATGATATTTTGCGTATGCATATATCCATATTTGTCTGGTTATCAAATTTTTTTGTATGTGTCCTGGGAGAGATAGGTAAATATTTTATGCTGGAATTTAAATTAGAGTTGCTCAGAGGGTAGTGAGAGAACCACTCCAGTAACTCTTTTATTTTATGAAAAACTACAGAGTTGTAAAGGATATGATGGTCCTATAGTTATGGGTAGATTATTATTGGTAGGACAAAAATAACAAGAGCAACCTTAAAGGTTGGACCTTGAGGCAGCTTCTGCTGATTCACACTTTTATTTTTCCAGTTTTCTGTCTGTAAACAAAATGCTGCATGAGTCCTTTTCTTTGTCTAATAACTAGTTAGTTTCTATTCCAATTTGTAATACAGGTAAATCCATAATCACTTTCCTCATGTATTTGACTACTTGCAGAAATGACTCTATTAGTGACATAGCTATTAGTAGCTTTTTGTTGTTATAGTTATGATTTCTTTTAAAGTTTAATATGACAGTTACTAATCTTGTGTATTTGATGATACTTGACAGACAAATACAAGTGCTGCTAGTTCTCTTGGAACATATTTCTTCCCGCAAATATCTCTAATATTCTTGGACATGCTTACCGTATACAGGTGCACTAGTAGTAGTCATCTTTTGCTGGTTTGGGCTTTTAGAATTTAAGAGATGAAAACATAGGACATTGTAACATTTTGTTCCTGTGTGGTGTAATTAATGTATTGAAACATAAATCTTTGCTCAAATATTTTTCCAATACTATTAACCTGATGATATTATTCTTCTTTACAGAATGTACAGTGAGTTAATATCAAATAGTATTGCAGAAGGAGGGCCTTTTGCTTCAAAAACATCCTTTGTGAAGCTTTTACGGTATGAATCAACAGTTTGTCTTCTTGATGCAAATTATTATTATTTGATTATTTAGTTTTCATGGAATTTATTATATTTTTAAATATTTAATAACAGATCTGTAAAGCGGGAGACACTCAAGCTGATTGAGACATTTGTAGACAAAGCTGAAGATCAACCACATATTGGAAAGCAGTTTGTGCCACCAATGATGGATCCTGTCCTTGGTGACTATGCTAGAAACCTGCCAGATGCCAGGGAATCTGAAGTTTTGTCACTCTTTGCAACAATTATAAACAAGTATGTTTGGATTCCACAGATTCTTCCCTGCATTCTTGTTTATCTATCGCCTGGTTAGCTTATAATTGTTGGTTATGTACATTCATATTCATCTTTTCTTGCTATAAATGAATGTTAGAGATTAGTCTCACAAGGAGTGCACAAGAACAATCATTCCTTGAAGGTTTTATTTGAATAATTACCTCTCTAATCACTATACAGTCATCAAATGGGTCTGCATGCAGTTCTTTTCTTTTTTAACCGAGTATCTGGATTTTCTACAGGTGTATATATTATTCCAATGTGGTATGCCTTTTCTGCACTGTTTCTTGAGCTTCCAAAAATCTTGATATTCCTATAAATCCATATGACAACTGATATACCAACACCCTGTTATTTATAAACATTTGCAAAAACATTGTCCATCTTTGTTTGTCTGGTACTTCTTAAATCTGTCCCTTGCTTGTCTGGTACTTCCAACCATTTGTTTTGTTTCATCTTATAGAATAGGGCAACACAGTTTCTTATGCCCCTTAGTTGAAGATGATTAGTCTGTTTTAGTGATTCCTGGTTCCAACAAATTATGGAGACACATTTTTGTAGTGTGTTTAAAGTCTATCTATAAAGGAACTTGGCCAAATTGTTTGGCATCCTTTGATTGGCAAAGGCATTCATGTGTTTGGGTCTTTGTCGGTTCTATACCGTCTATTGAGTGGGCATCTCTAATATGTTCTATGCAGTTAAGATTGACTTGAGCTTAACGATGGTTCATTGTGGAATCCCATTTCTGCTTTTCCATGGTTGTGCTTGCTGTAGGTTGTCTGACTAGGGTTCTTAAGGGTTTCGCATGTGTGAGTGCATGTGGTCAAGTTTCTTAGAGGTAGTTAATTGATTGTATGGGATTTATTTCCTGCTAATGAGCACCAACCGTAGGAAAAGTAATACTGACTATATATATATATATATATATGTATATATATATATATATGTATATATATGTATATATGTATATATGTATATATATATATATGTATATATATGTATATATGTATATATGTATATGTATATATATGTATATATATATATGTATATGTATATATATGTATATATGTATATAAATATGCATATGTATATAGGACATGGATGATCCAATGGTCTTGAAATCATGTTAGGCTTGCATGGTATGTCACATTATGGATCTTTTTGTTTTAAACATGGACAAAATTAATTACTAGATTTTTTTTGGATGTTTTCATATTCAGGAACTTCATTTCTTAATTCAATCTGACGTGTATAGATTAAATTGATTCATCTTGACCTTATAATTGATCCACTCCAATTTGCTTATTCTTTGTTACTTATGCATCAACTTGCTGGTTTCTTACCTTTGTACTGATTTCGAATTTGATTTGCGTAGATACAAAGGTGTTATGATGGAGTATGTACCTCGCATATTTGAAGCTGTTTTTCAGTGCACTCTAGAGGTAAGTGTATGCAGTTCGGATAACATCTCAGATCTTGAAGGTTGTGTCATCCTGCTACAAGCCTCTGCTTCTCTGTTACAGATGATTACCAAAAATTTTGAGGACTATCCAGAGCATCGCCTTAAGTTCTTCTCTTTATTGCGTGCGATTGGTACCCATTGTTTTCAAGCCTTAATTCAACTCTCAAGTCAGGTAAGTGATACATATGCACAAGTATGTGCACGTCTTAAGTTTTCTGATGTGTTCCTGTTCTGTGTCAGCAATTAGAACTTGTGATGAATTCAATCATCTGGGCTTTTCGGCATACTGAAAGGAATATTGCTGAGACTGGCCTCAGTCTTTTGTTGGAGTTGCTGAAGAATTTTCAGGTTTGGCAGCTGATCCAAATTAGGTCATCTTCTTAAGAAGTGCATTATCTTACCATCAGTATCTTACCATCTGATATGATTTACTTCTGACAGGTTTCGGAGTTCTGTAACCAATTCTATAGAACGTATTATTTGAAAATTGAGCAAGAAATTTTTGCTGTTCTGACAGATGCATTCCATAAGCCTGGCTTTAAGCTACATGTTTTAGTGCTTCAGCATTTGTTTTGCTTGGTAAGAAGTGAATACTTTATTTCCTTTTGTGCTGTCTTTAAACTGAGTTTTGGTTAAATTTCAGGTTGACTCTGGTGCACTAACAGAGCCACTATGGGATGCTTCTACAGTTCCATATCCATACCCAAATAATACAATGTTTGTTCGTGATTACACCATAAAACTATTAGGATCATCCTTTCCAAATATGACAGCAGCAGAGGTAGGGATGCGATTCTCATCTTAATATTTGTTTCCTTATGTTTACTTTTTATGAAAGCTTGGTAATTGTGAAGTTTTTCTTTTACCAGATAACACAATTCGTTGGTGGATTATTTGAATCAAGAAATGATCTCCCAACTTTCAAGAACCATATGCGAGACTTTCTCGTGCAATCAAAAAAGTTTTCTGCTCAGGTATTGCAAGTGGCTAATGTTAAATGCATAACTTATCCCACTGATTTGTGATGTAATAGAGCATGCTATATTGCTGTGAGATAAAGGTCTTAGACTATTCTATATTGCTTGCAGTAGTTAATGCAAAACTTTATGAGATGCCAACATTATATAAAATTTCTCTAGCTTCAAAGTGCATTCCACTCTATCATACATATTTGAAATGCAGAAACTCCTGCACAAGGTTGAGATACAGAAGGTTATTTCTATAGGGTGGCTCCTCATACCAAATTGTGTTTTGGAACTTGGATAATAGGGTTTTTGGGTGTACATTGGGTTGGGAAATCGAGGATGAAAACAAATGATCAAATTTAATTTCTCAAGCATGCAACTCAAATGATCCTTGTTATGATCAAGGTTCTCAATTTCAGTCCATGCCAATGTACCATACTGAGATGTACCAACGGTATGCTATGGTGCACTGGCGGTATGCCCAAAAAGAGCTAAAAATCCTCTAAAAATACTGGGGCGTATCGATCGGTATGCCTTGGTAACGATCGAAATCTGGGACATACCAACTAGTATGCCTCGGTAACGATCGAAATCTGGGACGTACCAACTAGTATGCCTCGATAATGGTCGGATTTCGATTGTTACCGTCCAATACAAACTCTGTATCGCTCGATACGAGGTCAAAACACTGGTATCGCCCAGTAGAGGGCAGTCCGCGTACTAGTATCCTCTCGGACCAGTACATACCGCCCTTATTGGGTGGTACACATCAAAATAAAAAACCATGCTTATGATGATGTTTTGGGTTGTGTTTCGTTGGCTTCCATACCTTGTGCTTTTGATGGAATGTTCAAGGCTGTGTGTCCTGGTCATATTTGGTTATATTTATTTACTTTGGTTGGTGTGTTTTGCTATTTTTCAACTAATCTTTTAGGGTTTTTAGGCAAGTTTGCTTTGTGATGGAATTCAGTGCCAGCTCTTTGGGTTGATGCACATTAATAAACTGTCAAATCCTCATTTTTGTTCTTAGTGATGTTCTACAACTGATAAAACATCATTTTAGAAAAATGGTCTCTCATATTGTTTATGATTCTATCTATTCATATAACATCAATGTTATATATATATATATATATATATACACACACACACACGTCGTAGG